GTCATTGGTCAGATCGCTGTTTCTTTGACCTTCGTGGTGACTGGTTTGCGCCTCGCTACTCTTCCGATCCGAGCGCCTCTTTGGTCGCCCCCAATGAGACCATCGCCGGCTACATCATGGAGACTGTGAATACTACAACGAGGACCTGGCGGGTGTAGTAGTCGACGAGGCGCAACGTCGTCTGCTGCTAAACGGGTCGTCGGCCGCCGCAGGGATGGGCGGGTTGGATCAGGAGGAATGGACCGGGGTTGGGCTGGAGTGGTTGCGCAGTTTGCTTGGACGACGAGAGTGGACGATCCCCTGTGTCGACGTCAAGGTCCGACTATAGAGATGGTTTGACTTGGGTGCTCTACTTGCGGCCGATCGAATAATTTCCTTTCCATTTTCTTTCTATTCTCGACAAATCTAGAATGGTTTACAACAACACAGAATGTATACCCCGCGCCTTCCAAGATGAAAAGCTTGGACCGGCGAACAGCAAGTGATCCCTTCAGCAAAACATAGGATCCTGGTTCGGATACTAGTTTGGTGATTACACTTCCTACTGCTTTCGAACTTTTCGCCCACGCACATATCTTCCGCACTTCTGTGCGACAGCTGACTGGCTTTGACGTTTTTTTTAAGGCATTGTATATAAATAAACCCTACTATATCCATCTGCTTCATAGCTTTAAATAGACTCTCAGACCATATTCCACCTTAAGAAGCACGTGCTAAATGACCGCGCCATGTTGATGAGGCGGACATGATGCAGTTGAGTCTCAAACGCACCACAACACAAGAGGGACACACGTAGGATGATTTGAAGGCTAAGGATCAATTATATAGCGTAAGGCATACAGTAATTACAAGCAAATAGGTATCTAACGATAAAGGGAATACACCAACAGTGACCAGATGCTGCTGAAGATAAGCAAATCACATCCACATCGTGAAAGAAGCAGTAAAATCGTAGACAAGCATAAGCCACACCGAGGCACGTCAAACAAATCATGAAGCATAAAAATATACAACAGAGTATCAGCATGGTATCGAAACAGGTCTCTCTGTGAGACTCCGTTAAAAAGCATCGAAAGCAGGGGTTCAGGAATTGAGTACAGGCATCGAGCATTCGGAGGTAAGGATCGTGAGCTTGTTTTAATACTATAGTCGGTCAAGGATCGTCATGGAACAATATGGGGTAAATAAAAACCAGGGCTCGGTTTGAAGTAGTGAACGAACAAGCAGCCTGAGGCGAATCGTCTAATTGTATCCGCCGGGTGGTCCTATTGGCATGGGCCAATCGTCTTCGGTGATACTGCCCCAAAAGATCCAAATCATAACTACTGATAGGAGGGTGAACAGAGTCTCGAACAATGCACCGTTGATCTTCCCGTTCGTGGCCTGACAGAGGTGGGTGCTGATGACATATTCGAAAATTTGACCGATAGCAAAGAGCAAGCCAGCGCCGGATAAGTAAACTTCTTTCGACGTCAGAGAATGGTTGCCTAACATCGCAGAGGGGTTAAAGGGGTGAACATACGCATAGGGCGGGACTCGCCCAGTATCCGGATCACCAACACGGCCTCCAAAACGAAGAATACCACAAGACAAACGAGTGGGAAAAGTTGGTACAGCACATAGAGAGCAATGTTTCGGTACTCGGTTGACGGGTCAGGCTTGAACTCGCCGGTCCAGTTGAATCCCGTATCCAAAGCAATATAACCAGTGCCAATGAAGAAAACCAAAGCGGAGGCTGAGATGAGACCGAGCGACGCAGGTGTGCCATCATCGAGAAATTGATAGCCCACCAAGGCGTTCAACAATAGCACCCAGCATGTAGCGGTGATCGCGGCGATGTGCGCAGCAGAAAATCCCTGCATGTGACCGTTAGACTTCCGAAGTGGTGGTTAAGGATCTGGCAAAGAAATCCAAACATACTTTCCGGACCGCTGCGTCGAGAGGGAAAGCACCAACGCTGAAGATTTCGCAGAATTCGATAACTATGAAACCGAGCAAGAACAGTTGTATCTCTCTATGACATTTCCCAAATCAGTTGCTGCCCACTGTCTTTGTTTCGTTTCAATTTCACTATGTACCTTCTCCCGACTGCTGCCTGTTTTCGCTCAGATCTCCATAGCAGCAAAAGCGATGTTAGGATAGCAATGAAGGCAAGCAGAATAGAGCCTACAAAATATTAGTATGCGATAGCATGGATCATCTTGCATGGGTTTCATCATTCTCTCATACCCAGATTTCCCAGATTTCGATTACCGCTAAGCGTAATGCCTGTGAGCGGGCAACCACCGAAGGCGTCATTAGGGGGTTGGTTCTTGTCAACGAAAAGCTGGATAGAGAATCGATAAGTTAATGACACCCCTTCTAGTTAAGTCGGCGTAACGTTCGAAAGCAAGGGAAGAGTCGCTCCACATACATTGCAGACTGGTAATGTAGAATCTCGACAGAAGTCCTATAAATGGGTGGAGAATCGGCGGTCAGCATGCTTCCGGAGCCGGCATTTGGCGTTTGTCGCGAACTCACGTGGAACTTCCCGAACTGCGTCGAGCCCATGGTTTAGAAAGCGTTCAAAAGAGAGATCATGCGAGATGTGTAGTAGCAAGAGAAAGTGGGCGCGGTGTGGTGCTGGTGGCGTGGTAGTGCTGGGGCTTAAATTGGTCGATTTCCTCGGACCCGCTGAGGACCGTTACGATCGGTCCGGCGCAGATCTGAGGCGCAGAAGCGGTATGGTTGTTGATGATTATCAGTATTGATCTTATTTGGACGGCTTGTCCACGCTTTTCGTTTCTTGAATGAGGGGAAAGGGAATTCACGAATTAATAGGAAAATGGCGCGGAATATTGACACGTCAAGTTGTATGTCAGTCAACTCCTGCAGCGTGATGAGACTGGTGGAGAGATGGACAAATTAGGAAGTAAAAGACGGATAAGCCTAACAAATTAACAAGATATTGGGGCAACTCAGAGAACCGGCGACGTATGTACTGTGTGTGTGTGTGGGACCGATGTGTATTGTATGTATGTACAAAGAGAGAGCTGTCAGGTTTTGAACAGGCCGAAAGGAAATTGTAGAAGAATGTTGACGAGAGGGAAAAAAACAAAAAACAAAAAAAAGGTGATGGCGGTGTTGGGTCTGGAGGCCGAAAGAGGGGGGAGGGAAAAGAGAATAAAAAAAAAAGAAAGAAGAAAGATTGGAAAAGGAAACTTGGAAACGAAAACAACCTACCTAATGGATGTGCTGTAGCGGGAAGAGGAAGGTGGTAATTCTTAACCAACAATTTTCATAGGCGCAAAATGGCACTAAAGAATGATCGTTCGTCTCGATTAAGGACTAGACCCAAGATCCAGTGGATAGAAAAGTGGGCAAAAAGCAGTGGCTAGCCAACTAATTTAATACTACGTAGTAGTATATTCTTTGCCTACCTTTTTTTTTTTTTTTTAAAATAAAAAAAAAAAATTAACCCTGCAGCTAAGATGCAACTCAGAAACACAAGCGGAAGATAGTTGGCTAGGTCTCCTGTCAGTCAGGGATACCACGCGAGGCTGGTGAGGCTGGTGAGGCTGGTTAACCCATGATCATCAGTTGATGATGATGATATAATTTGATTCAGTCTGTTCAGGTCGGATTCACAGTGGTGTATGAAGTATTTCGATCTTGACTTGTCCCCTTCCACCCTTACATATAGATTCGGATGTGGTTCAAACTTCACCCATGGTTAATAGCTGGTGTCCCTGAACTCGGGTAAGGTTCCCGTGGAGTCCATTTCCCCAGTTTCTATTTCTGGGGCATTGGTTGCCTGAGCCTTGAGGAACTGAACCACCTACGGGTTTCTCTGCCAATGAGAACTTCGCCATGCATAATTGATGTTGGTATACGGAGTACTTAACAGTCAGTAAGATATGTACTACTAGTACCTAGCAACTAGCCATTTATGAAGACTTGGCAGTATCTCGAAGATAGTACATGATGTCATCAGATATTTTTTGAACAAAAACAGTGAGCTCTTCGAATTGTATTAATTAATTTATCAAAATTCGAGAAATAGAACACAGTATGGTAACGTTGGAACAGCCCTGTGAAACAATCCCATGAAAGGGAGCTTGTCACAGCCTCACAAGACGCCACGCGCCACTGTGACATCTCAACCAAGGGGTATCTCATAATTCCCCTCCCCCTCCCTTTTCTTTTTCTGCATTCTTTCTGGGGTGCGAATTAGATGATGGAGATACACAGAGAGGACGGATATTCATTTCCTTAATTTATTTTTCCTCCTAAGGATGTATTGCTACTAGTAGAGCTAGTATCTACTAGTACCTAGTACCCCTAGTATTCAAATGTACTCGGGACGGCCCAGTCACGCATGCATGCATCATTGAATTTAACCTTATTACCAAGTGGTAGCAATAACTAATGGTAAATGATTTCTGATTCCCTTGTTAAAAACGTAACTCTACCTGCCCACCTCAATGTAATCCGGTATATGTAAGGAAGGAATCTCAAATGTATACTCAGTAGACGAATGGTTTATGTTCTGCAATATCATCCTATGCACATATTGCCCCGAGACATCAGATTATTCTATGTTGGCTATGTATGTTCCTACCCGCGAGACCAACCCAGCCACGCACATAATGGAGTCAAACCATAACGACGCTTCTGTAAGACATTATGCATGTTTTTCAAGAAAATATGTTAGATTGTACTGTATAACAGTGTATGTCGTGGGTATGCTGTCTTGGACCTATCCAGCCACTTGACTGCTGTTTTACTTTCTTGGGGCTAGGTTGTCGGTCGTCCCTTGCTTCGCTTTTACCCGCATACATTTGTTTAAATCGAGAATTTTCTTGCGGGGGCGTTCCTTGTGTGAGGATACTTTCAACCGTTCCACAAGCCTGAAATGAGTACGAATCGAGGGTCAAATATTGAGTCCTTCAGTGGTAATCGTCCAATTCCGTACGCAACAACTACCTACCCCCGGCAAGTTTACAGGCCATACCGGCTTTTTAGCATACATCCTCGATCTCCAATTCCTTACCATCGTGCTCACCCAGATCCATTTTCAGGGTCCGTCCAAATAGCTCGAGTAGCATCTCAAAACAAACCTTGGTGATGGCGGGGTCATATCGTCCCTTGCTGAGTTCATCACGAATAAATGCGTCTGTCGGACGATAATGTCAATCGGGCCAATCTCAAAAGTGCTATTATCTCTCTTAATACAAAGTGCAACGTACGTTGAGCCCAGGCCACTTCGTAAAAGCTAAACAAGACCCCCTTGTCATGAAGTGTTTTGCGAATCAGGTCTCTTCCTTCCGGTGGGACATGGTTATCGTTTTTGCCGAAGATCTAGCACCTCCCATTAGACTACTGCACAGATGGATTTCCTTGAGAGAAAGGGCCAGACTACCGAGAACTATTCGAGAAAAATAGTTTCCGGTGGGACGGGAAAGACTTGCCATTATCAATTCTCCTTTAATATCCTCTGCTCTGGCTAAGCTATCATCATTTTTACCGGCTGCAAGGGTCTTGCTGTGGATATCTGTTGCAAAGTAGCATACTGCCGCCCTAACTCGACTATCTAATGCACAGCGGTACGCAAGATGGCCACCAAGACACATACCCGTCGCGCCCACACGGCCATTGCACGTGGGCAATGACAAGAGATAGTCGACACATAGTGATGCGTCCTCATCGTACGCAGCCAGTTTCTATATGCTGGTCAGCGAACTTCTCTGTCAGATCTCTCAGATTCCTGGGCTATTTAATATCATCATACCTTGCTTACTTTCCATTTGTTCCCTTTATCTGTGTCCTCGACATTGTATTCCAATGGCTCTGGACCAGTGAATTCGTGATAGCTAGAGGGAGCAGCGCAAATATATCCTTGGCCAGCGATCTGCCTAGCAAACCGGGACACAGGTCCAGTCACTATAGATGTTAGGACACTAGCAAGTTCTGGAGAGAAAGGCGAAAATACCTTGGTAGATCTCACTGAATACAACTACGCCAGGGAATCGGGCCTTTGGATACCCAGGGATAGTGGGATGGAATACATAGATACCTTTGTAGTCACAGCAATGTCAGCCAGGCGACCTCTAATAGCCCCATCGGAACCTGCAAGTTCAATTATAAAAAGGTAAGTTGCAAGGAGAATGCCTCACGCATGGTTCCATTCCCATCTGCCTTGGTAGGCACATCGTGGAAAGACTCTTGAATCAACATGTTTAGTTGAGACCGTATGTAAAATCGTACGGCGACTTGCGACTACAACGTGTGATTGATTGAAATGGCCTGGAGACTTAAATTCAAATAAGAACTTAGCTTCAATTAGCTACGTGCTATCAAAGGTTAGCTGCGGGGAAGATCGAATTGTCCGATAAGATCTTAGTCATGTGACTCGAAATGCAGGATGAGCTGCTTGCAAGAACTGTACGTCAAGTGCCAATCTCCTAGGAATATATTTACTTACCATGCCCTGGTCAATGGGGACATACTGTGAACTGCTCTATGAATACAGATATACCTAATAGATCGGTTGGGCCCCCTGTCCAGCGACCAAGGTTGTCATGTAGAACGTCTGCTTCAAAAACCAGCCCACGTTCTGTACATCAATTTTTACCCCTTCGATTAGATATTAATAAAGAATTAGAGCAAGTTGGAAAAGCCCGTGTCCCCCTCCCCCCTTCCCCCCAAAAATAGAGACCAATAATTTACATCGAATGATATACATTAAAATCTGAATCAAGATAAAAACTCATTGCTGGGGAAATCGAAGTGGATTCCCAAGCTCTGGACAATCACCATGAATGGCATTATCAGCAGAGTCGGCTTGTGCACAATAAAGAAATATACTCATCAAGTCCCCAAAGAACTTAGAGCACTCGGGCAGGTGGACTGCCCATAAGTGCAGCGTTTCAAAACGTGTCCGCTAACAAAGCAGCTAGGTGACATTTTGCATATATGGCTGTTGTCTCAGAACACGTACTTTATAACATATCAGCCCGCATATTCCAATGGCCAGTGATCCAGCGAGGTTGTACTTACAGGAATGAAAAGATAAGGGACTCGTCTTTCATACTCTAACCACGCTTCACCGTATTTGTTGCGACAGCGTTGGATATCCCGCAAAGCACGGTGAGAGATCATGCATGCAAAGAAGAGAGGATAGAACCAAGGGAATGGGCTGTTGAAGCCAGTGATAAGACCCCAGTTCAATGCAAAAAAAAGATCGCAAGTGTAGTGGATCTTACGAGCTTTGCCGTCTATGCATGTGTCAGCTCAAGTCATCTGTCATTCGTAGTATAGTTGACTTACACCAACCGTCCACCAAGATCTTGGAGCCATCTTCAGCCGTGATGGTCTTGGGGTTTTCCAATGTTTGCCATGGAAGTTGTGGGAACGTATTCCGGAAGACCATAGTTCCACGCTCCTGTTGACGGTAACGGTTCTTCTGACTGTTGGTAGTATCCCAAACCCAATATACAAAGAGATATGCAATATAGAGGATTGTCAAGAAATAGCGATTCCAGTGATAGGTCGCCGGGTCATGGTTGGCAAGGTAGATCGTGCAATGGCAGTAGCTCAAGGGTACACCAGCAAGATTCCAGAAAATCAGCATGAACCCCCATTTCTCATAGTACATATCCCTGTCATGGTGTCAGCCGGCTGAGAATCCCTTTGCGGCTGACAGAATCATGGCTTACCAGGTTGACACTATACACTCCTCGCCCTTGGAGCAGGCATTTGCGTACAGGAAATGCGCCATCAAAAGGAACCCTACCTCTCCAGAGACGTAGCCGTATACTTCGTATTGCCTGGCTGCAGCACCCATAGTGACGAAAAGGAGGATATACCAAGGGAGGCGGACTTCAAAGAACATCTTGAAGTCCAAAATTCCGAACATCCGGGGATTGAGTTCGGCCCCCATGAAGAAGTCATATATGGGATAACCAGTCATGCGATGTTGAGCTCCACGTGCCAAAGCCGAGAAGTATGCAACGAAAGACACAAGAAATCCCGAGAGGATGGCGACACTCATTAGAGGACCAAACTCGTCGATAATAGTATACAGCTTGAAAATACCGGTAAAGTGAAGCGCCAAAGCCAGCAAGATACTTGTGTAAAAAGACCATACGGCAGAGCAATAATATGGCAGTTGCTTTCCTCCGAGGTGCGGCAAAGGGCGACCCATAACAGTGATGCCTGGTAAGAGCAAGTAACAAGCGCCCTCAAAGAGGAAAAACATCCAATAGATGGCCCAGGCCTTGACGGAAGGAAACGCACCCACGTAAACCAAGTTGGCCAGGTGCATGATGAAAGCCAACGTGCTCTGTCCTTCCGAGGCGCGAGGGAACTTGCCATCGTAATAAACGGCACCAATCCACATGTAGTACATCAGCATTGGAAACCCGATCATCATAGATAATACACCCCAGGAGCCACCAAATTCAAAGTGTCCACTAAAATCAACTTTGGGATCCTTGCCCTCTTCCCAACCGTCGACAATTCGGGGCTTCTTCTCGGTCGAGATGGCGTGTCCGTTTGTCGCAATTGTTTTGGCCTCCTCCTCCGAGAGGTCCTCGGCCTTGGTCTTTCCGGAGGTGCGTCTACGAGTCGCAGATTTAGGTCCTCTCATCATGTCGACCGCGGAGTCGGATGTGTCGTCTGTGTTTGGCTCCGAGGCCACAGCGCTGCTGCGAGTAACCCGACGACCTGGGGTCTCGATGAAACCGGGACGCTCCATTTTCCTAGTAATGAAGCCAATTGATCAATAAACCTGTTCGTATTTATGCGCGCGCATTTTTTGAAAACGCTAAAAACATAGAAACGCACGGCGAAAAGTAAAAAGTGTGGCTAGTCCTCTTGTTTGTTTTGTTGTTTCCCATCCCTTTTCAAGAGCAAAAATGTTACTTACTTGGGGGTTTTCCCCGTCTGAGAGCGGGTGACGGTCATGGTATTGTAACCATATGATGGCTAGGGCGATATACAGGAATTTCGAGTTGTTGCGAAAAAGAAATTGAGTGAATTTATAGAAATGGTGGGAAAACCCAGAGTGAGGGAGAAGGAGGAGATTGTTTTTGAACAACAACCCATTACTTAGTTTAATTACCTTGTCGGGTAAGATTTTCGGCCATTCATCGTCCTTATAGCGTCCCCATAAAGGTGCCTCTTAAGTTAGACTATGGAACTCTACCACTAGCTAGTACTAAAAACCACTAAGTACCCCTCGAGACTAATTTCCCCAAGACTTTGGTTCAATACCTAGGAGCGGTAGTTAGTTATGTGCATCTGTCTTATTCAGTGCCGATGTCCCAACTTCAAAACAGGGCAAGAGCCATGAACAGACGGATATCTGGATAAATTACCATACGTAAAAGTGCACAATAGAGCGGAGTCTAAACTGAGTTTTTCCAGTGATAGATGAGTTCTGTCAAGAACAAGGATCTCACACACCATACAATGTCTTTCTATAAGTTGTCCGCGCTATATACAGAAAATTCAAAAAAAGAAAAAGAAAACATAAGTAAAGATATAAAAAAACAGCTATCAAGAATTCTAGTTCAATAATCGATATGTATACCTTTCACAATATAAAACCGACCATTAGACACCTATTATTGCTTCCTGGCAACAGTCCTTTAGACAAAACATAATACGTCCAAAACCTAAAACAACAGGTGAAAGTGCGGATGGGCAGTAAGAAGGAGAGGATGTGAAGAGGGCATAAAAGACATGAGATACAAAATAGAAGAGCTAACCTTGGATTTCCCCTTTCAGGCGCCTCTCTGAATGTTAGTCGACATGAGTGTGATCTTTTTGTTCTTTTTCTTCTTTCCGCCGCTGGAAGAGGAAGGGTTGTTTTCATTCGTAGAGGCTTGAGCCAGTAATTCGTGCTCCTGTTGGGCCAATAACTCCTCCTCCCATCCCTCAAGCCAACCATCCTGAGATGTAGCCTCTAGAGGTAAATCCGCTTGCTGGGCGAGCGTTGGGACGGCGGCTGTGCCCCATACGGTGCGAGTGCCTGGAGGGCTACCTGATAATAAATTGGCAGCCCCAGGATGTGAGGACTCGGGATGCGATGTAGAAGAACCAAAATTTGAGGGGCCGGAGCCGGAAGCACCGCTCGTTAGCGGTTGAAAATCATGATCAAAGAACAGAGGATCAGTAACACCAATGCTTGACCTCCTATTGCGACGAACTGCAGCCCAATGTTTCTCATCCTCCTTCTCAGCCCGAACCCGGTCTTTTTCTTCGCGAGCCTCTTTCTCCCTATTTCTCTTTCTTCTCCTTGCCGTTTCAGCAGCAAAGCGCTCTAAGATCTCTGGCCCAACCACATCTCGCCAGTCACATTCGAGAAAGCTTACTTCACACCCTTGTGGGAGATGTCCGAGATATTTGACCCGCTTTCTGAGCTCATCGTCAACAATATGACCAGTAGATATGTGTTCAACGCGAGGAAGGATGGTCGCGGGGAATGATGAATAATCGCCAAATGCAGTCTTTAAAATGCGGATGTCAAGAGGCGAGAGGTAGAAATGGGGTAGCGCTTGATAAAAGTAGAATGGGTGATCAGACGGATGAGGGCCATTTGTTTCCCGGGTCTGCTCAGACGACACTGAGACCCGGCCAGTACCAGGATCTCTCTGTTTGGCTTTCGCCACAGGTACAGCGTCAATTTTAACGCGATTTAATGCCTCCGCCACACGATATGTTTCACTATGTATGCCTGACACTGAAGTTGCCACATCTGGGCGGGTGTCTGGTTGTATCGCCTCAGCAGAGATGACCTGTTCAGATTTAAGATCGTGCTGCGGCTGAGTGAGAATCGGTCCCTTTGGTATGTTGATCGCTGTAGGCTGCTGCGAGATGTTTGGCGGGTTACTGATTCCCTTCACCTTTGATTTAGCGTCATTGATGGCTGCAATCGCTTTTTGAGTCCATGTTGTCTCGTCACCAAACAGGACCTCGTCCTCTGCTTCTTGGCGGCGGAGGTCCTCTATTTCACTGTCATATTGGCCGACCATGTAGTCTTCACCTGCTTTCATAATGCGAGCATAATCAGCAACCTCAGCGGCATGGTACCATGGGATATCCTCATCCGGTCCAATACTTTCAGCACCATCACGGGGCAGTGCCAAAGTGCTCCTTGGTTCTCTTTTCACGAGCCTCAAAACAACGTCACCACCCTCAAAAGGCAGGTCACCTTCTTGACCACTAAACCATCGTACGGGGCGTGTTTCTGTGATATATATCGTGTCCCAACAGATGGGGCATTTTTTCCATCGTGGCTTCTTCTCAGGTAGCAGACTGTCTTCATCGGATGAGTGCATATATCTGATAAGGCAAGGAAGGCAAAATATATGGCCGCAACGAGCCATTCGAGGCGCTACTGGAGTAGATAAGCAGATTGGACAGCTGGCAGACTGAGTCTGAGCCGAGACCAAAACCTGAAGTACAGAATCCCAGTCTAGGTGGACATCAGCATTGGCTGCTTGTGCATGGTAGGCTCGGGTTGACGTCACGATAAACCGATAGTTTGCATGGACGTAACGAGCTTTGTCTATGGCATGGTGTCCGGACCCCAACCCCCATGACGCATATCGACGAAAATTCCGTGGCGTGGGCTGATACTGAGGGCGAGGGGGGAGGGAGAAATTCATCAGATGAGTGATGGACGTTTGTCCCTTTCGGCTGTTTGTCGATCTCATGATGGCCTGTACGTTATCATGCTGGTTAAACCGCTTGGGCCAACGGTGAAAGGTGTGGAGATGACTTAGGGACAACCTACAGACTCGCTGTACTCTTCATCATCTAGTAACCGAGGGCGCCTTTGTCGCTTGTGTTGGCTTTTTCGGGACTGGTTGTTTCTCGGGGCGTTTGTATTCCTCGATGTCAAGCCTGCTCCGAAACTACCAGAGCCTCCCGCGCGTCGTTGAGAACCAATATCAAACGAGGAAGCGGAGTGGTATGTCGTAGATCCGGACTGATTTGGGATGTTGACTGCTTTCGAAGGGGTTGAGTTCTGGCTGGAATTGGACGACATTTCTTCCTTCTACTCCGATCCGATAAGATATTCTTCTCCTACGATAGCAGGGGAGTGGAAACAGTGATTGGAAGGATAGCGCGGCGGAATTGAGCCTTTCCGTCGACGCAGCAGTCTCACAACGTCAAGATACAAAATAACGCAAGATAAAGATAGGTACAATCATCACAGTGAAAACCCCGAGGGGTAGCACCAGGCGAGGAGAAGCACCAGGGTTCCTGATCCTTCTCCTAAAGAACGAGAGAGGGAAATGTGCGCCAATCTCGAGGAGGGGCGAGTATGTCATTTTCTTGGCGGCATGTAAATGGAGCCTCAGGCACGTGCCGCCCGCCCAAAAAAACATCATCTCATCTCAGCTCCAACGCACCCTTCCCCGTTGTTCTGCCTGCCGCGAGTTTAGTTCGCCTCCCATCCTCTCCTGTTGCTGGCTCCTCGGGTATTGTCTGAGGTATAGTCAATTATAACTCGGTTGTTACGAAGTGTCCTGCATCAGGTTGGTGTCTCTCACTCTCCTCTCTTTTAGTCAATCGCGCATCTCCCATCTAATAAGCCCTTCAGGCTTCCACAGGACCACCAGCGCCAAGCTTTAGCCAGACGATTTTGAATCCTAACTCACGGTCACCGGCCTGGGACATAGGATGGCCGCATAGACGGGTGCAAAAAGGCCCATCATTTTGGTTCCCCCGTTTTACATCGTATGGCTCCCATTGAGGCAACGCGTGGCTGAATAGTCCAGGCGACTTCCCGACGTGCCTAGACATGATGAACCCTCATCTGCCCGCGATGCCCCATGGGCAGCCACCCATGCCTACTCCCCGGCGGCAGCAAGACATTCCTTACTCTACAGGGCCCCCCAGTATGCGCTCTCCTCCCGCGTACATGGGATATCCTCCTCACATGAACGGCCACCTCCCCCCCGCCTATACACAGCAATATCCTCACTGGTACCCTCCCTACCCTCAAATGCAGCCACATCCACGCCCATTTCAGCCGCCGTATGCACCGATGTATGTCTCCACTTACCCTCCTCAACCTGCTATGGCTCCGGCTCCTATCCCACCCCCATCGCTCCCCATGCATGCCAGGACTTCAACTCCCCTCCAGTCCACCATGTCTCCTCCTGTTGGGCCAGCGCCTGCTCCGATAAATATGCCGATGCAATCTCCTGCCATCCTTCCGATCCACCCCACAACTAGCCCTATTATGTCTTCGCCTTCCACTTCAGCTCCCGAGAAGGCTCCCAGGGTCTCAACCCCCGTCAAGCCTTTCTGTGCGCCGGTAAGCTTTCTGAGGCGCGTTCTATAGCATAGCATTCGATTTCTGACCAACATTTTAGCTCCCTTGGCTCTCTGTTCCAGACCGTCCGTTCCCCGCCAGAGTCCCCCACCGACGTCGAAAAAGCCGAGCCCTTCAGTCTTCTGTTTCGGTTGAATTGCCGGCAAAGGACACCCACCAGGATGGCCATGATGAAAGACAAGGTGTGACGAAGGGCGTAGAGCCGCATACTCAGAGTCCCTCCGAGCCTCAAACACCAACGCTGTCTGTTGCACCGTCGGTCGCCAATTCCACACAGCCCACCACCCCGTCTTCAGCTGTTCAACCTTCTGTCCGTCCTCAGTCGCAATCCAAAGGATCAAAGCCAACTGTTCTTGTCGTCCCTGTTGTCCCCGTCGTCCCGGGTCCTGGTGCTCCACGACAAGGGACGAAAGATGATGCTAGCCGCTCATCCGAAACACGGAAATCGTCTGGAGCAACTACCAATGCCGCAAGTGGACCAGCTGAAAACATTACTACCGAGCGCCCAATGGAACAGATAGAAGGTCCTACTTCGGAAGGTTCACCGAAGCCACCTTCCCCCGTTTGTACGGCACCAAAATCCTGGGCAGACCTGGTTCGAGCTAAGAACCAATCGAAAGGTGCAGGCGTCACCGGTGCCCCATCTGCTGTATCGAACGGCGTGGTAAAGCAGAAGAGTGAATATCTTGCAGATGTATTAGTGAACATGGGGGAGGATGTCTCCCAGTATAGCGACAAGACTGCTTTTCTTGAACCCAGGGGACTTGTGAATACCGGGAATATGTGCTATATGAACTCTGTATGTTGTGACAATCACTGCAAACGTCTGATTCATTACTGACCTTTGGGACAAATAGGTTCTTCAAATTTTGGTTTCTTGTGTACCTTTTTATCAGTTCTTGGATCATATTGGCCGGCGAGCATCACATAGTTTCCAGAGTGATTTCCCAATGATCGATGCTTTGTCAGTATCACTATATTGTTTGTCTGAGGATCGATACTAACTTATATTTGCTAGGATTATGTTTATGAAAGAGTTTCGCGTTATTGATGCTGCTCATTCTGAAGAGCAGTTGAGGTTAAGGTTGAAACCAAATGAACTTGAGCAATACGGCGATGCTTTTATCCCAGAATTTGTTTACCAGGTAATTCGGCAGTTGCCACGCTTTCGAGACATGCGCGTACGTTTTTCCTTCTTTCGGCCAATATATGCACGGTAGACTAATTTTCCAAACATATAGCGAGGACACCAACAAGATGCCCAAGAGTTCTTGGGTTTCCTTCTGGAGGAAATGCACGAAGAATGTGCTCGTGCCGCAAAGGATGCGCCATTGACGAAAACTGATGGCGCTGCATCTCTGAGCGAAGAGCCATCTCCAGCTGATGACGAGTCTGGTGATGGTTGGCAGGAGGTTGGTCACAAGCAGAAGCCTGCAGTTACAAGATCTTCTGGTCACACGTCTTACGAATCCCCTATCATGAGGATATTCGGTGGTAAAATCCGGTCTGAGTTCAAAGTACCCGGGAACAAGACCTCTGTTACCTTGGAGCCTTATCAACCCTTACAGTTGGATATTGGCTCACCCGAGATCAATAATATTGTTGATGCTCTCAAGGGGCTGACAAAGCCAGAGAGTATTCAAGGAGACTTCAACTCTTCGCGCGGTCCGAATGTTACCGCAACGAAACAAATCTTCGTTGAAAATCTGCCACCTGTTCTTATTCTTCATCTCAAGCGCTTCCAGTATGACAGCGTTACCAGAGGGACCCAGAAAATCTGGAAGAAAATTGGATATCCTCTTGACTTGGAGATCCCTCGCGAAGTGTTACCTCCTAACCGGCGCAATATCATGATGGCCCAGGGTGGATTGCCCAAGTACCGGCTCATTGGCGTCATCTACCACCACGGTAAGAACGCAAGTGGTGGCCATTATACTGTCGATGTCCGTCGCCAGGATGGCCGTGAATGGATTCGTCTTGATGACACAGTCATTCGCCGTGTCAGAAGCGAGGATGTCGCGGAAGCCGGTGGCGAAGAAGATCCCAAGGTGCTTGCGGCAGCTCTTGAACAGCATAAGCGCGACGCTAACACGAATATCTATGAGCAAATTGATGATCTGGATCAGTCTGATAACGAGAGAGGTTGGAGCCAGGTCAATGGAACAGGCTCCGGTAATCATTCAAGCAAAAAGTCCACTTCGGCCGTTACCAACGGAGCTCCAGCGACATCTAAAGCACCTTCCGGGACTCGGACTCCAATTGGACGATACGGGTCCAAGGACAACAAGGTTGCTTACCTGCTGTTTTACGAACGCATCGCATGATTTAAGAGGACACAGGGGGAAATGTCGACAGTTTCTTACAGAAGGATAAAGGCGAAAAGCTACTCTTAAGGAATTCTCGACTTACATACATTGCTCCTACCTTATTGTCTGCTGTAGCAGATCATTCTACCTTTGATTAAACCAAATATGCCTGATGGTATTCGTCTGATATTGAATCATCATTTATCAGAGTTATCTCAATTGACATCTTGTGTTCGTTGGTTGTTGTAGCAACCTCGGCGGCCGACTACCTGGCCAAATCCACACGCGCTTGCAAAGATGGCCGATCACCAAAGGAGCCGGGGCCTGTCTTCTTTGATACTTCGCATCATCTTTGGACCTTCTCAACTGATTGCTTAATTTTGTTTCATTTTTTTCTTCTTGCTACCGAGTGTTTTGCAGCTTAAGCTGAACACCCTCCACTTCCTCTTGCATCTCCTTCCAATTCTGTATGTGATGATATTCCTACCTACCGATTCGTCTCCCTTGTTCTGCTTGAGTCTGTAATTGCGGTGTTGTATCTGGTGGAATGTTGCGCTGATATATACCCAAGTTCCTCGCATAGCCCTTGGTTTGCTTCTCGGATGCACGTGGGTTTTTGATGCGTGGGCGTGGGATGGGATTATAACGACTGCATGAATTTCCTTTGCAATAGACAAGTCGATCCAGCGGGTGGGTGGTTGTCTGATGTGATTTTGGCTTGGTCGGTTGCTACGTCCGGAGATGGGGAATTCGGACGAAGCGGCGACAAAACGGGATCATACTAGTAGCATTTACTGGTTCTTATGGAATGAACCAACCTTGTGAAACGATGTCCATATTTTGCCCCTTTTTATTCTTTCTACTTACCCTCCAATCTATCTATCTCCACCATTTTGCTATCACTCCTTCTGTTCTTTGATGACGAGGTATGGTGGACCCATGCTAGCGGCGAAGTGCAGGATAACATGGCGGTGTAGTGAAACAAAATAAGGGATGGGATGGAGTTTTACGAAGGCCTAAAAGCGTTTCCCTAGGGAATATTGAATATCTTTTCTCCATGTGATCCATTATAATAGTGTAGTGATCTTCAAATGAAGAGACTTTTTTGTTGTAACTAAACAAGAGTTCGTCAGGCTGTTTTGACATTCGCATACTTAGGCCACGACGATTTCCTATAGCTTGTTCGTCTCTGGGTAACTGTAGAGTTTTGTCGCCAATTGGTAGTCGTCCCAGCACAACAGTAGCAAGGATCACAGTAACTGTATAAGACGTGGAGAACACAAAATCTTCACTATACTATGTACTATATGACCTTCAGAATATACAAGACTTGTGAAACGCATCATAGTAAACTTCTTGTCCAAAGAGTGTGCGATTGGCATGTCTTGAGCAATAACATATGGATTGTATCGGCAGATCGGTTTCCGTGGCCACCACACCGGGACTAGTTGGACCAACAGCTACTACTCCGTAGCTCCCGTTGTATTGCTGCCTGGGGTAGCCTCATTGTCAGGTTCCTGCACTACCAAGTTTACAGGTCTTTCAGGCTCTCCTTCATGGTTTGTACCTAGTTGCCGCTGATCCATCGATTGTGCTCTTATGATGGATCGGCCTATTTGCAAAGTCGTAGACCGAGGTGCGCCGGGCCGTTTACGCCCTCGGTTGTTGTCTTGTGTTGCAGTGCTGTGGGTATGCTGTACGTTCGCGATCGGCACCGGCTCTGCTTCGGGCGTGGAACCAACACTCAGTGCATGGGAAATGGTCCGCGGCAGATGATATCCCGCTTTCACCAACGGTATAGAAAGACCATGCACAACCTGCATATCTGTTAGAAACTAGACTCAATTAGGGATTAGGGGTTAAGGTGTGGCTTACAATGCTGCAGATGACTAAGAACCAGACGACAACATCAACAGCCTCGGAAACCTTCTGTGCATCATCCCGGACTTTGCCATCAACAATGATACCCTGTAGAAATTCTCGGCTGACCGATAAATAGAAAATGGCACCGACGCCGATGGGACCAAAAAATCCAACGAAGGCTGCTTGAAGGAGGTTCTCGATTTGGCCGATATACTTGTGCATTGCGAAGATGATCGGCATCCGGCGAACGAGCAGGATCAAGACCCCCAATAATATCAAGCGATATATTGGAATAATATTGTTGTTCAGGAAGGAGGACCATGGGCAGACGGCACCGAACCACATAAAGATTGCCAAGTTCAAAAGCATATCAATGGTTGGTTGCAGCGAATCGTCCATCGTTTCGAGACGGAACCAGTCACTATCAAAATCAGCATTATGTTGAACCAAAGTAGAAATAGGGAGGGCCTTTACTCCTGAGTGAAAACATTGCCTGCTACAAAGCAGGCCAGAAGGTCGTCTGTTCCAATCATGCCACAGGTACCCACAATAAAAAGCTATAGTTAACGCTGCGTTAGTAATTGCTGGGTGCTTCTAGAGGGGGGTAGACATACTGCAAGGGCGATAGCAAAGACGAGAAAACTCTCACGGTCGACATAACGCTTCTCTTCAGCCCAGTGAAGCAATTCTCTGGAGACCCAGCCGACAGTGATCCCATATACAACGCTTAATATCACTGTGTAAGCCCAGGTCTCGTAAAACCACAGAGCCATAGCTTTCCCAGCGCCTCCGTTATACCCTGCACCTCCCATACCCGTGTATTTGAGCAGATACATAGCAAAAAATAGAAAAGGATATCCGAGGCCATCATTGGCACCTGATTCAGCAACAATGATCCTTTGGAGTGGTCGAGGAACATTCTTGTCCGCAAACTTACCTTTCACGATCGAATTGGAAAGTACTGGGTCAGTCGGGGTTACACATGCGCCAATTATGAGAGCATGCAGAAACTGAAAGTTAGGGATCATGGCCCAAACGACAAGGCTACTACATAGCCACATGGCAGCCATGCCAGGGCCCAGCAGCAATGAGAGGCTCTTCCATTCTAGTTGCAGGTAGCGTTTCGGAAGCTGGACTCCGGCAAGTACCAATTGAACCCCAAGAACTAATCTGGTGAAGTACATTGTAATCTCCTCCAGATTTTGTTCTGAGCCGAGCGCATATTCCTTAGGTCTTATGAAATTGGCTGCATGTGGAGAGAAGATAACCCCGGCCAATAATGAGATTACTGTCATTGTCAGTGGTGTTGACAGTAACCTATACAGAGGGTGCTTAACGAACATGCTTCAGATAGGTAAAATCTCTCCTTAAACAAGTAGGACACTAAGCCAAAGACCGAGATAAACCCACCCAACGTAGCACAGACAATGTTGAAGTTAATCAACGCAAGGGTCGGCATGATGTCTCTTCCAGAAGCGCGTGGGACCCTTTGGTCACCGGCTGTCGGGAATGTAGCTTCACGATACCGCAACGGCAAATCCGTAGGTGCTTTTACCAGATAAGTGTATGCCTTGAACTACTCTTCAGTGTTTGTCAGAGTCCTAGACCAAGTGATGGAAAATCCCTGGTTTAATGCGCAGAGATAAAAGGCGCTGTCCTGGATTGATAAATTTGCAAGCCTGTGTTATTCAACCATAGCATAGATCTGCCTGACTGTAGAGATCACTGTCATCTGAGACGTCCGAACGCCTTCACTCGGGGACTTCAGGAAGGAATGCTGGGTGGATGCGGCCGACAACTTGGCAGGCTCACTGACAACCACACGTAGCAAGACAGCGTTCTCCCTAGGTGGAAAAGTAGGTACACACAGTAGAGTGATCTAAAGCCGAAGGCCAGCACTAAGTATTTTCAACGTGGGGGATCAGAGATGTGGGGAACAAAAATTGAAAGACGGAATAAATCGATTAAATTTATTAAAAAAAAAAAAGATCTAAGGACGATCGCTGCCGGGGCTTGTTCTTGTGACTTCCTCGACTTTCCCCTAATGGGAAGTCGATCAGGCTGGAGCTTGCAGTCAAGCATTAAATTCCCTTAAGTACTACTAGTGGTCGTACGTGAGATTCATGGGATTAAATCTGTTTCTATTTTTTATTCCTCTCATTGAATTTGATTATGTATTTCCATCTCAGGATATCATCATGGTGGCGTATCAGTTCCCAGACCACTTTCGTAAAGACACAAGATAAACAAAGCTCTGACTCCTTAAGGACAGTCAACAAAGCATAATAGTCATCATCGTATGACAGCCAGAAGAGTGATGAGAAACAAGGTGGCGAAGCATAGGGCAAGAAACAAAGTGTAGATGACAAGACCTGATGCCTTGTGTTTAGATATCATCGTCAAATACTTCATCGGGGGTATTCTTGATCGCTTCCAGAGCTGCTGCCTTTTCAGATACCCCCCGTTGCGCTCCATTAACAGCCAGACGGTCAGCTGCCTCATTTCCCGGATCAGAATTATGCCCCTTAACCCACTCGAATAGTGTTTTAACTTTAAGCTCATCCCGCTCCTCGATTTTGACACGAATCGATTCGACTAAGTCCTTGTTCTCAACCGGTTTGTTCTCCGACGTAAGCCACTTATTGCGCTGCCATTTGGCATACCACACCGTCACACATTTTATCGCATACTGGCTATCTGTGAAGATCGTCACATCTCGATGACGTGGAGCTATGTCAAGGGCTCGAAGGATGGCTGTCAGCTCTGCACGCTGATTCGTCTGACGGTTACCTTTAAGGGGCTCCGAGACATTTCTGCTGGGGAAAAGCAGCGTCAGTAAGGTGACAACCAATGGACATGGTGGAGAAGAAAGAGTAACAAACCTGTTGTCTCCGGGTCCGAAATAAACGCCAACTCCCGCCGACGCAAGCGCTCTGCCATTGTTCAGCGAGCTACCATCCGTATAAATTCGCAACATCCCAGGAGGACCAGTTGCCTTCGTCTTTGTTGTAATTTTCTGCTCCTTCGTTTTATAGACCACCTTTCCTGTTTTTGGGTCCAAAAGTACGTTTGGGTCGAACCCATCCTCTGCCCCAGGCGGCAATGGTCCATCGCCTGGCTCTATAGGAGAGCCTTGCTCGTCTTTCGGTATGTCACTCAATATGCCGGGCGCTCCAGGGAGCTTCTGTATTTCTGAGGTGTTCCCAGCGAACAAAGCACCATTGGATTGACCCACTTTCACGAAGCTTCGGCCTCCTCCTTTGTCGAAAACTTCTTATAACGCGGTCGTGCAAATCCCTTGATTTGCTCCTGAGCTTTTGCCCAATCAGTATAAACACCGGGTACTCGTCCACGCTGGATGCCGTAAAATCGAGTAGGTTCTGTACCGGAAGTAGTGGCACCCGGCGCCGACGGAAGTTTTGAGCCCGTAAGGAAAGCATTTGCCTCTTCTAGAGTCGGGAATGCTTGAACTGAAGCCTCCGTTAGTCGAGGACCTGCATATCATATCAACGCGCTATAGAGGCCCTTACACACTGCACCTTTGTACCCAGTTACCTGGGTCAAGCAGTCATTCCATGCATAGTAGACTCCAGGCTGATATCCCGCCTTGACCGCGTAATATTTCCCTGCGGATCCCCGCTTGCGCTTGGTACCAGCTGTGGATGTCGGAGTCGATTGTATGCTCGGAGATGGTTTTGTGGCAGGACCGGGAGGAGGAGACGGAGTGGTGTTCGTCATCACGTTGCGCCGGCTAGCGGGAGTTGGAAGGGAGGTTTTTCGGAATAGGGGGTGTGTTGGTCCAGACGGAGGAGCTAAATGTGAATAAAATATTCTTGGCAGCGTTGTCAAGCTTCGTGAGTCGGTGGAATTAAAAGTAAGAATGTAAATTCTCGGCCTGCAGCTCCAAATTGAACTTGAATGCCCCAAGTTCGGAGCTACCAGGCAAGCCCAAGTGGAGCCCGTATTGAAAGGATATGTGAATTAACTTTAAACTTGAGTGAACCCTAGACAGTCTTGTGGGCTTGGACAAGCTGAGACTCTGACGTTGTTGGGGTTAGGAAGTGGTGTGGGCATTGGGGAAGGAGGGTTGATCGCCGAGACAAGAGAGGAGGGGGTGAAGAGAAGAGGGGGGAAACCATAAATAAATATAAATATATATATAGTTTTGCATGTCTCTGCCAGCTTTTAGTCTCTTTCTTTTTCCTTTGGGTTCATAAAATGCCCCTCTTAGTTCCTGTCTGTTCAGTTTGTTAAATTAAGCATTTAATTTCCAAATTTAAATCATTCTTAAGTCAACCCAACTGCAGCGTAACCTTCCAGCTCTGTTCGTTCGTAGCCATTAGTGGTTGAGTATCTGAAAAATACACACATACATATATATATATGTACTTGCTCATTGCTTTCCCTATTACACCACAATGTATAGCCTCGTAATCCTAGCTCTTCAAACATCTTAGAGAGCCAAATAGACCAGATTTTGTTCCGAGCCTGATCTCCTCGCCATTCATTCCTAACTGCAGCTGCTATAGCCGCGACCTATACAGTTATTCCCCAGTTTAGAAAACATTATCCAAGGTTGATACGTGCAGAGATGTTCTACTATAGGGTGTTTAAAGCCTATAATCAACTGTGAGCATACACTACAGCATAACTTAGCTAAGCAGCAGTCATTCAGACACATTAATTATGAAGAACAGAGATTCTGTGAATATAAGTAAGCTACCTAAAGTGAAAGAAACTTATCCTACTCTGCATAGCTCAGGTGTGCACTGCAGTATCTGCACATATAACACCCAATTCAGTTCCAGGTCAACAGAGAATATAGAAAATGGCACATGTCTAGCTCAGCGTTACCTGCTGAGTTTCTCTATGTTATTCTCCCTGCCTAGGATCGTGCGCATATTACCTGGTGTATGGTTTACCCTGCTTTATCAGAACTCTTAGCACTGACATAAAGACAGAGGTGTTTTCAAACAAACTCTTCTGCGCCAATTGACAGTTGTATCGTAAGCTACTATTCTTCTCAACATTAGGTGTAACTGAAGAGGAAGGGAGAGGTGCATCAGTGAATGAGTGAATAAAAGTGAGCACTCAGTAACCACAGCCATAAGAATCGTTTGATACCAGCCTCCGATTGCATCATTAAAACACTTTTTGATCTTTCCCTAAAATGGCAACCTCCTAGTCCTCAACAGCTGACAACATTCTCCACATACATCACTGGTAACGTGCGGCTCTCTTCATCTATTTATCCTAATATCGAGTAGGGGTATTAGGGATACGTGCCTCAGAGAGTATCCCTAACTAACTTATACGGTTGCCCCCAGAGATGATTAGTCTAGTGGGGATATACAAAATCACACGAAAGACACTGCAAACTAACAGGATTGTCTAGACGCATTGACTGAGAAAGCCGTGGATAGAATGAATGACACTACTGCAGAACCTACTTACTCCTATCCACATCGCCCAGCACGGATATCCTTCAATATTACGCGCGAGCTACACATTGCATGCTTACTGGATGATGCTGAGCGGGTCACTGAATTGCTTGCGATGGGAGCAAATCGCGATGCCGTTAGCCACGCTGGTTATTCTGCGCTTGACATAGCTGAATTGCTGAACCGAGTGCGCGTTGTTAAACGTCTTTTGGCACATGTGAATATCCGAGAGACCGGAATGCTAGAGCTCATGTACGCTATCCGTCAGGGTAGGTCGACTGTTGTACGAGCTTTGCTGGAAATGGGTCTTAATGACCAGCTTCAGGACGAGGTGTTGTTCCGTGGTGTTTTCTTCATGGCGTGCTATATTGGAACGACCTTTGTCATCAATGCTCTGGTCAAATATGGCCCAGGTCTTTCTATCTCTCCTTTAGAGGATACGTTTTTTCATGTTGCCATGTTTCTGGACAATAGAGAAGTAGCTGATACGATTCGTGATATTGCTGACATTGAACGTCGCAACATGTTGAGAGGCGTCGAGGTATGAGGTCTAAGATGAAGATCAAATATCTCAGAACCTGGTCAACACTAACTTTGAATCAGGCACATATGCTTTCAAGTTCGTACTTGGAGACGACTGAGGACACCGACAAGTTCTTTTCTGGTTTCCTGAATGACCCTAACTCATCCGACTTTGACGCATCTCCTGAGAACGATAAATAGTTGTTAATTAATTCGTGGCTTTAATCAGCTCTTCAGCTGGAGGCGGGATACTGTAGCAAAAGCCTTGTTGGACCTATCATGCGGCCATGTTATAATTCGGACTGATATCAAGAAATTGGCTGCTGAACCTCTTCCAGGCATCTTCACCACTGAAGATAGGACTGCAGACCTACTGCGCTTGAGCGGTATTTGACAAAATAATTGATATGTATAATTACGGGATACAATATGACTCTAGAGGAAGAGCAACGTTGATAATTTGGTCGTTGGACCCTTCGCCTATGATTTGGTCATACTGTACAAAAAGCGAGTCTTTGAAACCCCTTTCTTACAATCTCACCCTAAGATTAAAGAGGGGGGGGGGAAGGGGAAGAAGAGAGAGAAATTAAATCATCCTTATTCGCTTATGTAAATCCGATTCTTGGGATGATATTGGGGAAATGATGCATTACTAGTGCCTGGCATTTATTTAATTGGGAAGCTGCATCGTTTTACCCTGGGACAGTTAGTATGGCACCATCAAATTACTGCCCTGATGAGTTAGCCTTTTCAAGACCTGTGTCATGAGCACTTAGCCCGGAAGCTCTGACGGATTCGAAAATGGAAGCCATTACCTATGATGATGGATAGCGATTGTTCTTACGGATGACGAAACATGCAAGCATTACTGCCAAATCGGGACGCCGACTGGGGACGATGCTTCGTGAGTCATTGATGCCTCGTATTGAAGGCACCATAGCGGCCTCAAAAGTGGAGACTGAATCGTGCGTAATTTCTATTAGGGGAGATCTCCACTAGTTACCTTTGTAGTATATAACCAAGTTATCCCGGTTTCTACTTCTTCTCTTCTTCCCTTGACGGCCCTATAGACCCATTCAAAGATATTCAGTACATCCCTCGGGTTGAAGGCGTCCTCATTCTTTTGTCTGTTTGGATATACGCCATCATGACCGACAGCGAAATCTCACCAGATGCAATACTATCGGAGCTTTCCACGACTCCATATGCATGCTCATCTGTGGAGCCATTAAGCGGCGGGACCGCCAACTTTGTCTTTCGTGGCACTCTGCTTCATCCACTTCCAGATGGAACTACAACCGTCGTCATCAAGCATACAGAGGACTATATAGCGTCAAATCGCGAATTTAAATTATCTGCCGAACGTTGTGTAATTGCTCCTGCCCTACTACACGATTATGCGAAGTGAGACGGACAACCCTGGCTGATGCTTTAACATCCAGCTCATCGAAAAATCCATTTTGACATCACTTAATAACCTCCCCAGCTCGAAAATTACGAACGATGATGACACAGCCAGCCAATTCACGGCAAAAACACCCCATATATACTCATTCAACCCGCTCACCAACACCCAAGTTATGGAGGATCTTCCTGATTCCGTAGATCTAAAATCATTTTTCGTCTCGCCCAGCTCGGCTCGATCCGTACCCCATGAATGGGCGGTGTCTCTTGGTCGGGCATTGGGGCACTGGCTGAGTTCTTTTCATTCATGGGCCAAGGAGTCGGCGCAGACCGATGTGACCCTAGAGTTAGAGCAAAACCACTTCTTCCAGGATTTAAAGTTCAGCATAAACTATGATAGTTTGGTAAACATGGTCAGCAAGTACCCTGAAATCTTGGAGGGCAGCCGAGGCGTTTTCGAGAAGGTCAGGGATATGGCGAGGAGTGAGTTGGGTAGGAAAGATGGAGAGGGGTTTGGAGTGATCCATGGGGATTTCTGGTCGGGGAAGTAAGTGCCAGTCTGTCTTTCTCCCCCCCCCCCCCCCCCTTTATTTTATCCCACCAGGTTAAACAGGAGAAGTGGGGTTACTAATGATCTCAGCATCATACTTCCGAAAACTTCACTGGACACAAAGTGCTCTAATACCCCCCTATTCATCATCGACTGGGAACTTGCTCAGTGCGGTACTCGGGCTCTTGACCTGGGCCAAATGATCGCAGAGTTGTACGAGCTTAAGCACTACAAAGATGTCGATGCTGGAGTGTGGATCATTCAGGGCATCACGGAAGGGTATCCTGCTTTGAGTGAAGAAATGGCGTTCCGGACGTTAATCCACGTCGGGACCCATTTGATCTTCTTTGGCAGTACGGTCCCTGGATGGGGAACAGACGAGCAGATTGCTGATGTTGTGAGGCTTGGGAAGGATCTGATTGTCAAAGCCTGGGAGAAAGATAAGAGTTGGTTCAAAGGAACGGTGTGGGAGTGTTTGTTCAAGAAGTAGAGAAACTCTATTGTTTGCTATCTCCTACTGATAGTAAAAATAGGAACACTATGTAGATATAGTCCTTTACCTACGACTTAGCTTTAGGAGGTATATGTCAGTCAAACTATCTCACAGCATGGGTATTACTACATATTCTCCCGCTGGGCGAGTATCCAGTCCCCGATCCGTGAGCTGTCAATTTTCATCCGAAATGATGGCCATTACCGGGTCAAGGCTCAAAATTGACCCATTCTATCGAGCAGACTCGCGAGGAGACATGCAGGTCGTTCAGCCGGGGACAGCAACGCCGGAACTGAGAACCCGTCCAACGCGTCAAAGGCGCGAAAGGGTCCTATATGCTAAGTTAGGAACCCAACCATGGAATGATACAACACCCTTGCAACGCCTGGGACATATGTGAGCCCCGATGCTTCGGTCAGAATTGCCTTGAGTGGCAGTCATGAGACTTTGATGATAGATGATCCAATGGCCCGGCGTAGGACAGTTTATCGGCAGTCGTGCTATTCATCTGTAAGAGGCTTAAATCAATGTCTGCTATACACAACGTGATCGTTGAAAGAATTGCCGGCTCTCTATTGAGGAAGCTGGCGGCAAGCTCAGTTGTATTGTTCCGACAGTAGCAGCTTGAGTGTGGATATGTTCTTCACGGATTTGGTGGGGTGGGAAGACATATAGTTTTGAAAACACTGATTCGTGACAGGATGGAGAGGAAGAGTAGTTGGTCCTTGAACTATAAGCTAGAGTCACATATGGAACACCTTAAGAGATCGAACGAGATGGAAGAGTTGAAGAGAGCGATCTGACATTTTGATCGCTTCACAGGCTAAGAGTGCCTTCAATCGCCTACAGTTACGCTATTCATGTATATGCATTACCGGGCACTGTTCTCCAGTTTTTCCTTTTTGCTCAGACCACGCAAATCCAACAGTCGAATGACCTCTTTTTGAACATGTTCTGTATGATTTAAAGTGTATGATATATGCCGTAGAGCTGTGCAAACAAGCGACTTCTCCAATAAGAGCGAGGAAACAGCGCATTATAACACCACTCATACACCAGTGTCCATGTCATCTATAATTTCGCTTGGAAAACGCTCCGTATGGATCCGAGGCCTGATGGACCATTATAAATCTGTTGCTCAAGAAGACGGGTATTGATCTATATAGTGTAAGCATCGGAGTATGTTTGATGGGGAACCTCGCTATCATTGAGACAGTAACGAAGGAGTCTTACATGTTGGGGGCCCAGCTTATCCACAGATTCTACACCAAGTAACCGCATGCATGTCTTGCTCTCGTCCGCCAGTACTAAGCCCCAGTCAGTCGTTTGTTTCTCGAATATCAGGGTTCCCAAACATACTCTGCAGAGTTCGCTTAACACCCTCGACACCGCCAGCCCCCAGGCCCCACAGGGCAGGTCGCCCGATCCCCACGGCCTTCGCCCCCAAGCATAGCGCTTTTACAACATCTGTACCGCGCCGGATGCCACCGTCAACCCAAACTTCCAATCTATCGAATACTTCTGGGCAATATTTTCTGATTTCCATCAATGTATGCACTGCTGGGGGAGCAGTGTCGAGGGCACGACCACCGTGATTCGAAAGAATAATGCCTTTGACTTGAGGTGTATGGAGAGAGGCAATATAGGCGTCCTCATGAGTTTGCAGGCCCTTTAGTACAATTGGCAAGTTAGTACGTTCAGCCAACCATGGCAAAGTTTCTTTCCAGGTCAGTGAGGGATCTGTTCCAGCGAAGAGCTGCTTTCCAACACCGCCAGATGATTGATTGATCCGAGAGGTTTCATCTTCAGCACTATCTGCTGCCTTCGCCGCGCTTGGAACCGGCGCTGATGCTCCGACAGCATTTCCCCGCTCGTCATCTTCTCTTTTGCCTGGCACTGGGGCATCCAGGGTCAGAACAATGAACTTGATTTGCTTGAGTTTGTTTATCCGTGCCAACATCGCTTCGCTCTTCCTGCGATCAATTTGAACATAGATCTGCCATCCAAATACTTGGTCGGGAGCTGCATCTTTTACAATTTGCTCCGGTGTCATAGATGCGTTGTTTGAGATAACCTGCATGGCTCCAAAGCTGCGGCAAGCTTCGGCGATACCTGCCTCACCGGCCGGATGGCCCAATCGAGCCATCGCGGCAGGGGACACATAAATTGGCATTCCTAGCTTATGCCCCAACAACGTAGTATCCAGGTCGCATTGTGTGCAATCAATGAAAACCCGGGGCCGTAAGAGAATTGAGCGGTAAACTTCCGTGTTGAAATGTTTGGAGATTTTATCATCAGAGGCAGAATAGTAGTAGGCCCACGCCTTCTTGCTCACGTTCTTAGTAGCCACCTTTTCGATGTCATCCATATTGAGGAGAGACTCCATTAAGGGTGGACCCTCCTTCTCCTCGCTTGAGGGTACTGGCTCTGCCTGCACCTTCAGAAGTGTATCTGGGTTGACAGTTCCAAGCATCGCTTCTGGCTTCAAGTTTTCTTCTAATATGCCCGGGGGGTGGATGGGGTCGTATTCTTCGGTGGCATCCTTTCCAGCGAGCTTCAGAATGATTTTGGAACCACCGGGGTGCTCGGAGAGGAAGTCGGTGACCTATGACAACATGTTATACTGAATTAGTTTGAGGTATAACATGTGCAAAATGAAGCTTTATTTCTTAGATGGAGTCGTACATCGTACACTTTCCCATATAAAATCACCCAGCAACTGTCTGGGGTATTATGTTTCGCGACTGAGCGATTGGTTACCAATTAGCATATCGGCCTGGCAACAATTCAGGCTAGAGTAGAAGAGAGACAATATACCTTCCGCCGCATCGAACACTTTGGCCATTTCGCGGAACCAAGCACGATTGTGTCTTCACAATTGGTTCGTGGAATGGGGATGTGGTAAGGGCTGGATAAAGATAGGTATGAGAGGTAGAGCAGCGAAAGGGGGAAGAAGAAGAAGAAAATGAAAGGATGCCCTTCAGTAACGGGACTCCTAAGTCATGTACCCGACCGACCTAGACTTCGGCAACAGGCTACTTGTTGTCAGCCCCATTCAATGACCGAGCGTGCATAAATAGGCTTATCGGACTTGACTCCGACCAGGAGCTGTGTGGGGAAGCAAGACCCAGTAGTAGGAGGAGGAGGGAGTGGACAATCAGTATGGACTGCGGCCATTGAGATTGCTACATTTGGTAAACTTGATAGCCGACCTTGGGACGGGCCCGCTATTTCTTACGGATTAGAGAACATCGCGCGATTATTGGTGGATAAATGGTTTCGGAGTTCCAACGAGTTATAACGTTCTATCTTGCGTTCTGGTAGAAACAACATATATTGTTCAATCGCGAAAGAGTATGCTCCGTATCTGGAAATGTCGGTATTCAAGTTCTATGTAGTAGTAGTCTAGTAGTTGGGTCCTTCCCTCATCAATTCAATTGATCAGCTGCTCCCCGCACGTGCATCTACTCTGGGTATAGCTTTATCTGAGGTCTCCCCGCGCAAAACTCTTCTCCTTCGGAAGCCAACTTCCATCAGGTTCTTGGAGCAAAAGCTTCAACCTTAACTCCTCGAGGCGGACTCAACGTGTCTCCCCAAAGGATCCTCCTAGCCTAGTTATATGGCATTGCTATGTTAGAGCAAGTCTTTAAGAACAGGAAGCGTGCATAAATAGCGCGTCGCGATGTTCGAGGTGCGTCTGCTGACTTGAGTTACGGTGCTCTTTCTTTTATTTCGATGTTGCTCATCATATTCTATGTTGCACCATTTTTTAATACTTTATTTATTTGTTTGTTTAATTTTTTCAAATATGTTCCGGTCTGACTAGTATCAGCGTCGTGCTGCTGATCGATATCGCCTACGGATGCACCGGGCTCGCACGGTTGCGCTAACAACCGATGAGATCGTTGAAGTGCGGGCAGCTCAGCGAACATTTGAGGGAGCCTATGTCCGGACAGCATTATCACAATTTTCGTTTGCCCTCGTTGTGCTCAAGATTTTCACTAGTGAGTTCTACAGCACAGGGGCTCTTTTCGCGATCTACGGCACTGGTGTGCTCATTATTGGTCTCTTCCGCCGCCAACAAGGGAATAGGCAGTTTTTCTCGGAGGTGGGAGAAGATGGCATCCACCGACATAAGTTTCGAACGAGCGGAAACGCGGTGGTCGTACTGACGGCTCTGAGTGTTGCCGCATACGCTACACTGATCGCACTCACTCTCAGGCTGGATAAGTAGGTGGGGTATCAAATGCTCAAAGGAGTGATAAGTCCAACAGGTTCATTATATTCCGTATCTTGGGCAATGTGATAGCACCTGCGTAACTGCCAAGCGCCAAGAACCCGGCGGAATGCTGTCCTTCTACCCCTTTGTTTGATTAGTATCCGCTACTGTGTGAATTTTCAAGGCGAAGAGAAACAAGCCTTGCGGAAGTCATCAGACCGCCCTGCTGATAGCGACGATGCCAATTGCCAAGGTTATATGCGACAGGCTGCGTATATCACAGAGAGCAGCCCAGAGGATGCCTCCAACAATGTAACACAAGACACAAGATGTTCTATACACTTAGGTGGCTATGATCATCCATATTGACATGCAACGTTGGCCATGGTGGATTTAGCGGCCTCTACAGTCAGATGCAAGGAGAGACACATTGACCGAAGGGGCTTAACGCAGGGAAGTGTTAAGACCTGTTGGCGGAGACCTGGTTGCGGCCTACAATACCAGTTAAACATGGTAGAGGCTCCTCAGTGTTTCCGGCACACTGCAGAGGTTCAGACACAGTGCGATTCAGTTGATGTAAAGTGGATAAGCATGATTAGTGGGCCAATCCTTCTCTTCATGTTGATGGTACTGTGTAGTAAAGTCCCTTTAATACCCTTGCCTAGGCCAAGCATTTCGGTTTTTCCGTGTTTCCATGAACCATTGGAGCCAAGATAAATTGACTTTAATTTCATGTACGCAGTACGTGAAGATCTAACAACCTTCCTGGCAAGAACCTGGAGGGGGGAGGGGGGAAATATTTATTTTGGGCATATTGGGAGGGAAAATGATTACTTACAATCAGTGTGGCCGTTACATTTACGTGGTGGACAACTTCCTGACATCATGTTTCCATAGATCAACACGTCGGAGATCCACCACTTTGTATGCCCGTCCTGATAACCCACCAGTGACTTCATAGATTGTAAGCTGGAATCATATATGTTGAGTCTGCCCTAAGGTAGCTCTCTTCCTTATTCACTTCATGTTATTGCAATTTTTCTCTTCCTTATTATTCATTGATTAAATAAGGAGTCCTATGCTGATCTATAATCTTCACTTTGTCTCCCTCTGGATTGCTGATTAGGTACAAGTGGAAAAAGAAAAGGTCATAGCCATTTCTGAATTCTTTTGTTATCTCAAAAACCATTACTCTGGTTTCTTGGGCCAGGTTGGTTTCTTTCTTTCTTTCAACCTCCCCGCCTTTGGGGCGGCTTTTTTTTGGTCACCAACAAAAGGTGTAGTTGCTGAGGCAGTTTGAAGCCAAACAGTGACGTCTAGTGCTGCTCTTCTTGACTCATCCGCCGCCCACCGGCAGCTCCGCTCCTAATTTTTTTTTCTCAACCGTCTACGCCCCTCACCCTCGAACCTCTCTCCAATTCTAAACAGGAGATTGGTTGATTCAAAGAATTATTTACATCTGTCTTGGACTTCAACTTGTACCCTGGGGGTGAAGACCCGAACTTACCACAACTGTTCCCGGTCGCGATAAGTCCAACCTATTGCTTTGAAATTGGCTGCATCCCCTGCGCCACTGGCGGGGATGTCTCAACAACACACCAATATTGCACGCTCAGCGATCATGACAAGCGCGTCAACGCCCGATTCTCCGCAAAACCGTGTATCAGGTGGCCCCGACGGAGTCTCGTCAAATGGAAGTTCTAGGCCCGGAATCGGGAAAGATGCGAATCTTATGCCTCCGGCAAAGACGCTGGTCGGAAGAGCGCTAGGAAATGACCTGCATTCCGATGCCCACAGAGGCTCACAGGCATCCAAGGATGGTGTCGGGTTCGCCCTAACTGACACTCCGGTTTCTACCGCACCTTCGTCTCCACAATTGTATGTTTCCTTTCTCTTTTTCGTTCGCTCGTTGGTTGTCTATTATTGTCTAGCTTTTGAGTCTCAAACGCGGGGGATTTTAGATTGCCCTTAAATTTGCCTCGCTTTTGATCGGCAGTTGTTCCTCCGGGCCATATCGGCCGGGCGGTTCACGTCAAATGCCGCTGTGTATGCCGATCTTGTGTGTCTGTTACTGTGCTTCTTGGTGTTTTGGTGTTTGATGCCTTACTAGTCTTTTTGTTTTTATGCTTTGGTGGTCTTTCGGCTTAAGGATCTTGAGACTAATGTCCTCGTCAGCAATGCTAATAACACACCAACGACGACCGCCTCCACACCTGGCCGGGTTCGTGCCACCACACTTGATATTCCAGGTCTTACCAAATCCAAGGTGTCGCCTGATGGCCGGATTGCTCAACGTGATGTTGGGTCCAAGCTAGTCATTGTTATGGTCGGCCTCCCTGCACGAGGGAAAAGTTATGTGACCAAGAAGTTGGCTCGCTACTTAAACTGGCTGCAGCATGACACCGAGATTTTCAACGTAGGAGAACGTCGTCGCGTTGCCGCTGGCAAGTCACCCTCACCTCCTGGAAGGCATAGGAATCATAGAACAAGTTCGATCCAGAAAGATCTTGTCGACTCGGTACGACGATTGAGCGTCAGCGTTGGTGCGGTGAACCACCTCCGGAGGACTACGGTCCCTTCTGAGGCCGTAATGTCGCCCCCGAGGCTCATGAGCCTACAGCTTCCCCTCCCGAGCTCGAAAACTCACTTCCTCCCCCTATTGTCCCCACGAAGATCCTCGTTAACGGTAAGGAGGAAGACCCATCTCTGGGGCAAAATGGAATCACTATTGTGCCACCATTTAATGCGCTACCAGAAGACAAAATGGCTATGCAAGAAGCGTCCCCTGAGCCGCTTGACCAGTCTGCAAGCTTTTTCGACCCCAAAAATCAGCTGGCCGTGAAGCTTAGAGAGCAGGTAGCCCTGGACACCTTAGACGAACTGTTGGACTATATCCTCGACAGAGGTGGCAGTGTTGGCATCCTTGACGCCACCAATAGTACGATGGAGCGCCGCAAAGCAGTTGTAGATCATATTCGCAAGCGTGCTGGTCCTGAGCTCGGTATTTTATTCCTCGAGAGCAGCTGTGTAGATCAAGAGCTGCTGGAGGCCAACATGCGCTTGAAATTGTCAGGCCCGGACTATAAGGGCCAGGACCCAGTGAAAGCATTGGAGGATTTCAAGAAACGTGTTCAACTATACGAGAAATCCTACGTACCTCTTGGTGAATACGAAGAAAGGCATAGTATGGCTTATATCCGAATGATCGACGTGGGTCGCAAAGTTGTGTCGCATCAGACTCACGGTTTTCTCTCATCTCAAGTTGTCTACTACCTGTTGAACTTCAACCTCTCACCGCGGCAAATATGGATTACCAGGCACGGCGAGAGTACGGACAACCAGGCAGGTCGAATCGGCGGTGACTCAGAACTCAGTGAGAATGGCCATCGCTATGGTAAAGCACTTGCTCGGTTCATCGATCACCAGCGAAATGAGTGGGAATTGAACCAGAGACAGAAAGAGATGATGCAGAAGTTTCCGCCCCGTCCGGGTGATAGCACTCCGCCCAACCCTTCGTACATTCCTAGTGACCGGCCACGTAATTTCTGTGTTTGGTCTTCTATGATGCAGCGTGCGATTTCGACGGTCGAGTCTTTCAACGAGGATGAATATGATGTCAAGCAAATGAAGATGCTCGACGAGCTTCATGCGGGAAAGATGGAGGGCATGACATATGACGAAATTCGTGAAACATTTCCCGACGAATACGCGACTCGCAAACGCGACAAGCTGTACTACAGATATCCAGGACCCGGAGGGGAAGGGTATCTGGATGTTATAAACCGGCTTAGGACAGTGATTGTCGAGGTTGAACGCATGACCGATCATGTTTTGTTAGTCACTCACCGAGCCGTAGCACGCGTCCTTCTGGCTTACTTCAAGGGCCTCAAATGCGACGAGGTGACGGACCTAGATGTGCCTTTGGGGATGTTGTATATGCTTGAGCCCAAGCCATACGGGGTTGAGTTCAAAGCATATCGCTACAATCCCAATACCGACTGGTTCGATTATATTCCCAATTTTGAACTACGCCAAACCAGCGCCAATTAGATTGTACGATGACTTCCACTATGGATAGAGATGAGATGTGCTCTTCATCTTTAGAAGCTTGCACCGATCCCCGCCGTATCCTTGGCATTGTTATGACTTGCTTATGAAATGAATATTTGACTTTGGCTATGACTATGGTGTTACAGTTCGCTGGCCGTCATTGTGCGCTTTGTGCAATTCTTAATCAGGTGACATTCGCTGCTGGTGTTATGGTTACTCTGGGGTTGATACGTGCAGCCTGTTATGTAACCAACCCAACATATGTAATGTTAGGTAAGAAGGAATTGTTTCCTCTTTCTGTTTATCGTCCGGTCGTCTTTGTTGTACCTCGCTTCGGGGGGTGTATCCATGACGGCTGGATCCCTTACTCGCTTTCTTGTGGCTTATGGTGATTTCATCTGTTTGCGTGGCATTGCGTTGGCGTTGAGGTCAAGTTATTTCCCACGGAGCATTTTTGCAGAACACGGATCCTGTGTTATTTTAGAAGGATGTAATAGCAGAGAGCGGTACCATGATCTACAGGCTCTCTACGCCCGTGTCTGCTGTAAGTTCCGTTTGGCCCACGATTCCTAGATGGTATGCAATCAATGGCTTTCTTATGAATCGGGCATGACTGAACAATAATCCTTATTCATTGCATTTCCCCGACCATTATCTGGTACTCTAGCCTAGGAGCTCTGCTTCGCCTGCTTAAAAGCCTGCAAAAATGCTGAGGGATCCTCGGCCCCCCCAATAGCATATCGCCCTTGGATCGTGTAATAGGGCACACCAGTAACCAATTGCCTCTGGGCTCGAGCTGCCTCTAAATCTACTTCCTGCCCTCCCTCGTCGGATTCCAAAAGTCTCTCTATTTCACCGCGATCCAGCCCGGCCAAAACCGCAGCCTCCAGGAGTATCTTCTGGTCTGTGATATTCCCCTCTTCCTCGAAGTATGCCTTGAAAAGATTCTCGACAACCCTTGTTTGCAAGCCACCGACTACACCCGGCTCAGTAGCAGCGGAAGCGTCAGCTTCCCTCTCCTTTTTCCCAGCATACCAAATCACCCGATGCGAATCCCGTGTGTTCCCCAGCCTACCGGAGAATTTGAACGCTATCCCTTCTTGTCGTCCAACCTCGCCGAGTTTGCTAGAAATCTGAGAGAACCCATCTTCGCCAAACCGGCTTATATAGTACTCTCTCTTGTCTCGGCCCGGGTAAGGCGGGCTGTCGGGTCTCAGGTAGTAGGCATGCCAGGTGAGAGTGAATGTATCAGCGGGATGAACCGATTTATGGGTTGCGATGGCGCGGGAAAGACGGCGCAAGCCTACGTAGCACCACTAAGCGGTAGGTTAGATATACGTCGCGTATGAAAAAACAAACGAAGAGAAGGGGGTCCGTACTGGACAAACGCTGTCCGAGATGATCTGGATGTTAAAGTTCGTCATAGTAGTAGTAGTAGTAGTAGTAGTAGTAGTAGTAGTAGTAGTAGTAGTAGTAGTAGTAGTAGTAGTAGTAGTAGTAGTAGTAGTAGTAGTAGT